TTGGCTTTCTGCCCATCAACATCTCAGCTGGAGCCTGTCCTGTTGTTGTTTGTGGCGTGATTCGATACTGAAACAAGAACCGAGAGAGCTTAGTTGTGATGGTTCCCCCAGTCATCCTTTTGAGCCCCTCTTTCAGTGTCTGCATAGCCCGCTCCGCTAAGCCGTTTGAGGCCGGGTGAAACGGAGCGCTGCGGACATGGCGAATCCCGTTTCTCCACATGAATTCTTGGAACAAGTCACAGGTAAAGGTTGTTGCGTTGTCGGACACAAGAGAGTCAGGCAGACCATGGGTTGCAAACACCTGCCGAAGCTTTTTGATGGTTGTGGTCGCTGTGATGTTGCTCATGATGTGAGCCTCCATCCGCTTGGAGTGCGCGTCCACCATGACAAGGAACATGTGACCCACGAAAGGGCCTGCAAAGTCTATGTGCAGCCTTGACCATGGGTGGTCAGGCCACTCCCACAGATGTAGTGGCGCGGGCGGCGCCATCTTCTGGTTGCTCTGGCACTCTGAACTTGATTTCACTTTATTTTCTACGTCCTGATCCATGTTAGGCCACCAGATGTAAGATCTGGATAAACTTTTCATCTGGGAGGCACCCAGGTGAGCCTCATGGACCAGGAGGTGAAACAACCATTCTGGACCCCCAGAGAATGCAGCCATCCTGCACACTCAGCTCAGTTTTGCGCTTTGCATAAGGTCTTAGTCCATCATCCTCAATGACAGGAGGCCAACCCTGCATAAGGAACCTTTTCACTTGGGACAGGATAGGATCCCGGTCTGTCCACTGTTTGATCTGTTTGGCATTTACATGTGAGTTTGACAATCTCTCCATTAGGAAAATTGTCTCGGGAGGCACCACAGTTGTGGCGGGCATCTCTGGTAGTGGGAGACGGCTGAGCGCGTCTGCGTTTGCATTGTCCTTCCCCGCTCTATACACGATTGTGTACTAGTAAGCTGACAGCGTGAGGGCCCAGCGCTGTATCTTTGCTGAAGCCATGGGAGGAATGCATCTTGATTCACTGAAAAGGCTCATCAGTGGTTTGTGGTCAGTGCATATGGTGAAATGACGACCGTAGAGGTACTGATGGAAGCATTTCACAGCAAAGACTATGGCCAGACCTTCCTTGTCTAACTGTGAATAACCCTTCTCATCACTCGTCAGCGTGCGTGATGCGAATCCAATGGGTTTCTCTGACCAGTCCTCCATCTGATGAGAGAGTACTGCCCCGACGCCATAGGGCGAGGCGTCACATGACAGGATGATCTCTTTGTCTTGGTAAAAATGAACCAGCAGTTGTGCTGATTGTAGTAGTGCTTTCACTTCCTTGAAAGCTTTATCTTGTGCTGGCCCCCACTTCCATTTATAGTCTTTGTGGAGCAGCTGATAAAGTGGAGCCAACACTGTTGACAGCTCAGGGAGGAACTTACCATAGTAGTTCACCATGCCCAGGAACGACCTGAGCTCAGACACATTCTTGGGATTTGGAGCATCCTTGATTGCCATGACTTTGTCCTCCAAAGGACACAGATCCTGCGCTGTGATCTTGTGACTTAGGTATGTCACACTCTGTGCTTGGAATGTGCACTTGCTACGCCTACAGTCAATGCCAATAATAACCCTACACACGAATAGTATTCATACTGTACTGCAGGTAAGTACAACACATATTCAATGTAATTATTTATAGTGTCCACACAATAACATCATTGATACCTTGTAGAGACGCCACACTGCTGCTTTTGTCACATGAGATGGCAGCAGCTTTCCACCAAAGTGTTTGTGTCCTGGGTGGCGTCCTGGTAATACTATTGCATTATCCTCTGCGTTGTTGTTGATGAAGTCCTCATGCTTCAGGTGTAACCTGTGCTTGCTTGGGCCAGCTCTCTTTTTGCTGGGAGGCATTAGACCATTCTCCTTGTATGACTGGTGGAGGAGAGTCAGGCGTGTTCTACTGATGCTGAAAGACAAATTCCAGATACAAATATTTTAGCATTATTATACAATAGATGGCCGTAATCACCGTCAGACACACCTGGCTAACTTGATGGGTCATGTAATCATCTGGCAAAGTGGTATTTTGTTTAGACATGTAGCTAGCTAGCTAGCTAAACAATGAATCAATGATAATCCCAATCCATAGAGTACTAGCAATACAAACCGATTGTCATAGCTAGCTAAAGTTAACCAAATAGGTTAAATGTTAGCTGGTTAGCTAGCTAACATTAGGCTATAACTAGCAATGCAAATTGATTTCTGAGATAATATTACTACACAGATCATACACGTAATATTAGCTAGACAGCCAGCCACCTAACATTAGCTAGCTAGCTAACAGTAAGCTTTAACTTGCAATGAAAACTATTTTCGGACAAAATTAGAAACTTATAATATCTGAAACTGTAGCTAGACTCTTACCCGTATACATGGATGAATGCAACCCCTTTCATTAAATAAGACGTCCTGTGTCGTTTCCGTTTTGTTTTTACAGCTTGCTTGGCCCGTTGGGTCTATTCACTCTGGTTCACACTGACAGTGTGCAATGCCATAAGAATCGTCCTCCTGAAAGTAGTCCATCACAACTTTTTCCCACTGACCTTTGTCAATAGCGCCTGATACATTCAGGGCAGCAATGTTATTGAGAGCAGTTGCAACACATTTGCTGTTCTCCATGGCTAACGTTATATATTTCAGAAAATAAACTGCAGTAGAAAGGAAGCTCATTTTATAGACAGAAGATGCTACATGGCACACCAATCCGAAACTCATCTCTCGGCATGTCCAGCCCATTCATTATCTCAGCCAATCATGGCTAGCGGGAAGGTTGCTGTCTTTTTCTGTGGCTAAACCAACTAGGCTCATAATTTAAGAACTTTATTTGTATTTACAGATGACATACAAGGTCGTTATTAAGGCACATGAAAGTTAAAATGTTCCAGAAGGCATTTCTGCCAAAAAACACATTTTTATAAAAAATTAAAATAAACGTTCAAATGCCTCTCCTGTGAAGTCGTGACTTGCGACATACGACTAGTTTCCTGAAACGGGTCACATATCTACACCCACAAAACGTATAGTGCCATCAGTATAACATAGAGCCTTTGTGAAATGCCACAAAGCAGGACTACATTCATTTTTAGACCCCCCCCCCCCCCCCCCCCCACATCAGCTCACCGGAAGCAGTCATAGTGTGTATCATTCAGTGCGCAAAGCCCTGACCTGCTTTCCTCCTTAGTAATTATGTGTGAAACACATCTCACTGTCCTGGAAATGCCTCAGACATTTCCCCAGGGTGAAATTCCCTTTTAATACTTCCAGCAACAGTGTTGGTATTGTTGTATCATTGTTGTGTCATTATAGTTTAGAAAATAACATTAGACAGTAAGTCGATCTTTGTTAATTTATTTAAATAATATATTGTTATTTTTTATATATAAATGTATGTTTGTCACTTTAAACTATATATATTTTTTATATTAAATAAGAAAAAAGTCCTGTAACAGTCAAGTAAAAAAAATAATCTGGGGGACTTTTATTTTGGAATTTAACCGTATGATCATGTGGCCTTAATGTCGCTAGGTTCACAATGCCCAGATCCTGCGCCTTTTGCTTTATTTGTGTACACACATCATTCTGGACAGAGCGATTCTGATAGCCTGTGCTATTAAGTTCCAAAACGAATAAAACGTCGATGTTATCCTGATCAAGTTCCAGGCAGGCTTTTTAGTTCAAAAGTAAGTATTCTGTCTTCCTCTCTATTTTTCAAATATGAGCTGGCATTCAGAGTCGCATCATCTTCGGTGAAGAAACCCTGTCCGTTACACCCATGTTATTGAAATAGCCTACGCATGATAACATTACATTGTCAGGTCTTTTGCCATACGGTCTGGCAACACTAGGGTGCCATTTTATTATCTGTGTTTTTATGCACTCTTGTTAGCCGCCTAATCTGTTCATTCTTGACTGGTTACATGGTTGTGCACAAAATAGCACCCCATCTCCTAGTTTTGGGACACAACATCGGGAGTCTGTGTATTGGTTGGACTCCCTGACACCCGATGTTGTGTAACCATCTCCCAAGATCAGGGCCACAATCTGTTACATACTAATTTTCTTCCATTTAAAAAAAGTTACTTAAAGGTCCACGAGCCTGATACAACCTACTTCTAGACATCCTATTTATATGTCGATGATTCCATCCAATGGGAACTGTTTTTGCAATTGAAATCTTGAAATGTATTTCAAAGTCGTATTTTATTGGACACAATTTGTCCTGTATTCAAGTCAAAGCATAGGCTAATTTTAGTATTGAAGGAATTTGAGCTGGTCTGATGGCCTATGTTCTGGAATGTTCCCTTTTATATAGCTTTGCTCATCATCAGTCAATAGATACAATTTAAGGAACACTTGCACTTTGTCTCTCCAAACAGACAACATCTCACCTGCAGAGTGCTCCCACCAATTGAGATTTACAAGGAGAGGCAAAGAATAAGACAGTAAAATGCTTTAATGACTATACCATTGCGCAAATCACTTTCATTATGTTACATATTTGGATCCTTTCATTGAAAATTTTGTCTAAATTTATCTCATTTTGAGAGAGTGGAAAGCCTGGACACTGGCAGTTTAGATTAGTGACCCTATTCTATTTTGTGGAATCTATTTGGTTTTGGCCTCCAACAACAATAACTGCACCACCAGCACTCTGTATTGCCTGGCAAATGTATTATTTGTAATGTGAAGATATCTGTCTGTCCCAATAAAATATTTAAATGTTGTAATAAACTATTACATATTGTAAAGTGCACCCCAGCTCGACTTCAGACCACATTAGGTATGAAAATGTCGGACAACCATTGATTTTGGAGTGAACTATACCATTAACGCTAGACTTATTAAATGTGTATGTGTTATTGTTGAACTTTCTTGTTGAGGACACCTGCTTATGACATTTCTCTATTGTTTTCATTGTGAGCTGAGAAAAGTGGAGGAGGAACCATGACATCTAGACTCCTCCCCTTCCTGGCGTGCATCCTGCTCCTCGCCATGCCCCTTCAGGCGCAGGAGCCCAGCGCTGCCGAAATCCAGGACCTGAGCATTAGAAACGCCGACTTCGCCGCCCGGCTGTACCGTGCTATTGCTAGCACCTCTGATGGCAACGTCCTTCTCTCCCCCTTCACCGTATCTTTGGGCTTGGCTGCATTGATGAGTGGTGCCGATGGTTCTACACGCGAGCAACTCCTTCAGGGCCTGAGTCTGAACGCTCTGGACCACCTAAGGATCCCAGGTATTTAGCCATAGAGAATAAAGAGGCAGACCAGTAAGTAGAGGGTGGCAGGTTTGAATCCCAGGCTTGCCGTTGTGCCCTTGAGCAAGGCATTTTACCTCAAATAGCTACATGGGCATTGCTCTGCGGCTGACCCTATACTGTTTCCATATTTTTTATGCTTGTTTGTGCTTACATTTAAATTCTATTCTATGCCAGAACTGTTCCAGAGTGTCCGGGAGAGCGTGGCCGAGAGCGGGCTCGTGAACCAGGGTATTGGCATCCTCCCCCGCCAGCAGTTCAAAGTGGACTCGGCCTACCGAGATGTGGTGCAGACCCAGTACGCAGGAAACATCCAAGGGCTGGACTACAACGAAGGGGCAGCCAAGGACACCATCAACAAGTTTGCCTACGACTACACGGGGGGGGAGGTGAAGGAGGTAATCAGTACCATCGACCCCCAGACCCAGATGATGCTCATCACTGCCGTCTTCTTTCAAGGTGAGGAGGGTGTAGGAACAGGGGTTCAATTGGGGGCATACAGAATTTTGTGTCTATTTGATTCCCTTTCCTCTATATCTCACCAGGCCAGTTTGCCCTCGCCTTCAATGCCAGCTTCACCCAGTATGAGCGCTTCTACGTGAACAAGTACAACATTGCCACGGTCCCCATGATGTTCCGCTCCGACAAGTATCATCTGGCATACGACCGCTCGCTCAAGCTGGGCGTCCTGAAGCTGCCCATGACGGGCGGCACTGCCATGCTGGTGCTTCTGCCCGACAAGGATGTGGACTACACCTCCATCGACGAGGAGATCACGGGAGAACGCTTCCAAGGCTGGCTCAAACAGCTCAAGAGGACGTAGGTGGTATGGCACTACAGCAATGGAATAGGTTGCGTTTATATAGCATATTTCACTAGGGCCCGTATTCAATCCATAGTGCAGTGTATTGGACATCCATAGTGCAGCTTTTAAAGGCATTTTCTCTAACATTTGCTCAATTGTAAATTACCTACAGAGGTTTTTTGCCTCATTCAAGGGGCGCCTGCAATATTCCGCTTTATCAGCTGTGCTCCTACCGTTCTGGTGGCCGTTCACGTGCCGTTTTCCTCACAAAGCCCACCCGCCCTTTTCACATTAAATCTGCCAGTCGGAAGCAAGACGCTTTTTCATAGCTACAGTGGGGGAAAAAATTATTTAGTCAGCCACCAAATGTGCAAGTTCTCCCACTTCAAAAGATGAGAGAGGCCTGTAATTTTCATCATAGGTACACGTCAACTATGACAGATAAAATGATAATTTTTTTCTCCAGAAAATCACATTGTAGGATTTTTTATGAATTTATTTGCAAATTATGGTGGAAAATACGTATTTGGTCAATAGCAAAAGTTTCTCAATACTTTGTTATATACCCTTTGTTGGCAATGACACAGGTCAAACGTTTTCTGTAAGTCTTCACAAGGTTTTCACACACTCTTGCTGGTATTTTGGCCCATTCCTCCATGCAGATCTCCTCTAGAGCAGTGATGTTTTGGGGCTGTCGCTGGGCAACACGGACTTTCAACTCCCTCCAAAGATTTTCTATGGGGTTGAGATCTGGAGACTGGCAAGGCCACTCCAGGACCTTGAAATGCTTCTTACGAAGCCACTCCTTCGTTGCCCGGGCGGTGTGTTTGGGATCATTGTCATGCTGAAAGACCCAGCCACGTTTCATCTTCAATGCCCTTGCTGATGGAAGGAGGTTTTCACTCAAAATCTCACGATACATGGCCCCATTAATTCTTTCCTTTACACGGATCAGTCGTCCTGGTCCCTTTGCAGAAAAACAGCCCCAAAGCATGATGTTTCCACCCCCATGCTTCACAGAAGGTATGGTGTTCTTTGGATGCAACTCAGCATTCTTTGTCCTCCTAACACGACAAGTTGAGTTTTTACCAAAAAGTTATATTTTGGTTTCATCTGACCATATGACATTCTCCCAATCCTCTTCTGGATCATCCAAATGCACTCTAGCAAACTTCAGATGGGCCTGGACATGTACTGGCTTAAGCAGGGGGACACGTCTGGCACTGCAGGATTTGAGTCCCTGGCGGCGTAGTGTGTTACTGATGGTAGGCTTTGTTACTTTGGTCCCAGCTCTCTGCAGGTCATTCACTAGGTCCCCCCGTGTGGTTCTGGGATTTTTGCTCACCGTTCTTGTGATCATTTTGACCCCACGGGGTGAGATCTTGCGTGGAGCCCCAGATCGAGGGAGATTATCAGTGGTCTTGTATGTCTTCCATTTCCTAATAATTGCTCCCACAGTTGATTTCTTCAAACCAAGCTGCTTACCTATTGCAGATTCAGTCTTCCCAGCCTGGTGCAGGTCTACAATTTTGTTTCTGGTGTCCTTTGACAGCTTTTTGGTCTTGGCCATAGTGGAGTTTGGAGTGTGACTGTTTGAGGTTGTGGACAGGTGTCTTTTATACATATAGTGGTCCTCTGTAGCTCAACTGGTAGAGCACGGCGCTTGTAACGCCAAGGTAGTGGGTTCGATCCCCGGGACCACCCATACACAAAAAATGTATGCACGCATGACTGTAAGTCGCTTTGGATAAAAGCGTCTGCTAAATGGCATATTATTATTATTATTATTATACTGATAACAAGTTCAAACAGGTGCCATTAATACAGGTAACAAGTGGAGGACAGAGGAGCCTCTTAAAGAAGAAGTTACAGGTCTGTGAGAGCCAGAAATCTTGCTTGTTTGTAGGTGACCAAATACTTATTTTCCACCATAATTTGCAAATAAATTCATTAAAAATCCTACAATGTGATTTTCTGGATAAAAAAATTCTCAATTTGTCTGTCATAGTTGACGTGTACCTATGATGAAAATTACAGGCCTCCCTCATCTTTTTAAGTGGGAGAACATGCACAATTGGTGGCTGACTAAATACTTTTTCCCCCTACTGTATTAAGTAGTAGATTCCCAAATGCCCAATAAAAATACAATATAAATTCAGCAAAAAAAGAAATATCCTCTCACTGTCAACTGCGTTTATTTTCAGTAAACTTAACATGTGTAAATATTTGTATGAACCTAACAAGATTCAACAACTGGGACATAAACTGAACAAGTGCCACAGACATGTGACTAACAGAAATTGAATAATATGTCCCTGAACAAAGCGGGGGGGGGTCAAAAGTAACAGTCAGTATCTGGTGTGGCCACCAGCTGCATTAAGTACTGCAGTGCATCTCCTCCTCATGGACTGCACCAGATTTGCCAGTTCTTGCTGTGAGTTACCCCACTCTTCCACCAAGGCACCTGCAAGTTCCCAGACATTTCTGGGGGGAATGGCCCTAGCCCTCACCCTCCGATCCAACAGGTCCCAGACGTGCTCAATGGGATTGAGATCCGGGCTCTTCGCTGGCCATGGCAGAACACTGACATTCCTGTCTTGCAGGAAATCACGCACAGAACGAGCAGTATGGCTGGTGGCATTGTCATTCTGGAGGGTCATGTCAGGATGAGCCTGCAGGAAGGGTACCACATGAGGGAGGAGGATGTCTTCCCTGTAACACACAGCGTTGAGATTGCCTGCAATGACAACAAGCTCAGTCCGATGATGCTGTGACACCGCCCCAGACCATGACGGACCCTCCACCTCCAAATCGATCCCGCTCCAGAGTACAGGCCTCGGTGTAACGCTCATTCCTTCAGAGATAAACGCGAATCCGACCATCACCCCTGGTGAGACAAAACCGCGACTCGTCAGTGAAGAGCACTTTTTGCCAGTCCTGTTTGCCGGTGGGTTTGTGCCCATAGGCGACGTTGATGTCTGGTGAGGACCTGCCTTACAACAGGCCTACAAGCCCTCAGTCCAGCCTCTCTCAGCCTATTGCGGACAGTCTGATCACTGATGGAGGGATTGTGCGTTCCTGGTGTAACTTGGGCAGTTGTTGTTGCCATCCTGTACCTGTCCCGCAGGTGTGATGTTCGGATGTACCAATCCTGTGCAGGTGTTGTTACACTGGTCTGCCACTGCGAGGACGATCAGCTGTCCGTCCTGTCTCCCTGTAGCGCTGTCTTAGGCGTCTCACAGTACGTACATTGCAATTTATTGCCCTGGCCACATCTGCAGTCCTCATGCCTCATGTCAGTAGAAAGGCCTCTTTAGTGTCCTACGTTTTCATAACTGTGACCTAAATTGCCTACCGTCTGTAAGCTGTTAGTGTCTTAACAACTGTTCCACAGGTGGATGTTCATTAATTGTTTATCGTTCATTGAACACGCATGGGAAACAGTGTTTAAACCCTTTACAATGAAGATCTGTGAAGTTATTTGTTTTTTTATGAATTTTCTTGGAAATCCTGAAAAGGGGACGTTTAGTTATTAAGCTGGAATTGTGTAGTAATGAAAATAGGAAATGTGTGTTCACCAGTAGGCATGTCCCAAAACTCTGCTCATCACTACTCAAATTGCAGCATCATCAGTACTGACTTACCACTCCTGTATATAGTAAATAAGTAGTGAAACACGTATTATTGAGTAGAACTTGTAAGGTAGTGAGGAATAGTAAGTGGCAACTAGAAGCAATTGCATAATAGGAACTATTACAAATTGATGGTCCTCGAAAATAAATATTAGCGCTTGAAAAAGTACTTGAAAGTCCTTGAATTTGACATGCCACTGTCTGTACAAACCCTGTCAGAGGTTTTCATTGTCAAAGCATAGAACAAATGCTATGGCACACATATCACCCCATCCCACTATCAATGTCCTTAAACTTTATTATACAGTATGTCAACATACAGTATATTTCACTGACTGTGGTCCTTCAGGACAGGAGTTGTGCACATCTGCCCCCAGATAAGTGATTGTCACAGCATTATTGAAAGACTACAAAGAAGTGAGATTAAAAAGACCCTGTTCTCAACAACAAAACATGTTGTTTAGGACAATTATACAACATTAACATGAAACGCTCAACCATTGGCCATACTGTATGACCCATTCCTAATGATTATGATGTCACTTCCTGTGTTGTACAGGAAGCTGGAGGTGCAGCTGCCAAGATTTATGCTGGAGCAGTCGTACTCCCTGCAGAAGGTCCTGCCAGGTCTGGGGATAAGTGAGGCCTTCCAGGAGAGGGCTGACTTCTCTGGCATCGGAGGGGAAACTGGCCTGAGGCTCTCTGAGGTCAGTTTGTGTGTATGTGCAATTGGTATGTCATCAGTATGTGTATGTGTGTGTGTGTGTGTGTGTGTGTATCCGTCATTGAGTGTGTATATCTGTGTTGTTCATCAGTGTTTGTGTGTTTCTCCCGCATGTACACTACCAGTCAAAAGTTTGGACACACCTACACATTCAAGGGTTTTTCTTTATTTTTACAACTTTTTACATTGTAGAATAATAGTGAAGACATCAAAACTATGAAATAATACATATGGAATCATGTAGTAACCAAAAAAGTGTATATTTGACATTCTTCAAATAGCCACCCTTTGCCTTGATGACTGCTTTGCACACGCTTGGCATTCTCTCAACCAGCTTCATGAGGTAGTCACCTGGAAGGCATTTCAATTAATTAATTTGGTAAAAGATCAAGTCCATATTATGGCAAGAATAGCTCAAATAATGAAAGAGAAATGACAGTCCATCATTACTTAAGACATGAAGGTCAGTCAATACGGAACATTTCAAGAACTTTCAATGTTTCTTCAAGTGCAGTCACAAAAACCATCAAGCGCTATGATGAAACTGGCTCTCATGAGGACCACCACAGAAATGGAAGACCCAGAGTTACCTCTGCTGCAGAGGATAAGTTCATTAGAGTTACCAGCCTCAGAAATTGCAGCCCAAATAAATGCTTCACAGAGTTCAAGTAACAGACACATCTCAGCATCAACTGTTCAGAGGGGACTGTGTGAATCAGGCCTTCATGGTCAAATTGCTTCAAAGAAACCACTACTAAAGGACACCAATAAGAAGAAGAGACCTGCTTGGGCCAAGAAACACGAGCAATGGACATTAGACCGGTGAAAATTTGTCCTTTGGTCTGGAGTCCAAATTTGAGGTTTTTGGTTCAAACCGCTGTATCTTTGTGAGACGCGGTGTGGGTGAACAGATGATCTCCGCATGTGTAGTTCCCACCATAAAGCATGGAGGAGGAGGTGTTATGGTGTGGGGGTGCTTTGCTGGTGACACTGTCTGTGATTTATTTAGAATTCAAGGCACACTTAACCAGCATGGCTACCACAGCATTCTGCAGCTATACGCCATCCCATCTGGTTTGGGCTTAGTGGGACTATCATTTGTTTTTCAAAAGGACAATGACCCAACAAATCAAATCAAATCAAATCAAATTCTATTGGTCACATGCGCCGAATACAACAGGTGCAGACATTACAGTGAAATGCTTACTTACAGCCCTTAACCAACAGTGCATTTATTTTAAACAAAAAAAGTAAGAATAAAACAACAACAAAAAAAGTGTTGAGAAAAAAGAGCAGAAGTAAAATAAAGTGACAGTAGGGAGGCTATATATACAGTAAAATAAAGTGACAGTAGGGAGGCTATATATACAGGGGGGTACCGTTGCAGAGTCAATGTGCGGGGGCACTGGCTAGTTGAGGTAGTTGAGGTAATATGTACATGTGGGTAGAGTTAAAGTGACTATGCATAAATACTTACTTAACACACCTCCAGGCTGTGTAAGGGCTATTTTACCAAGAAGGAGAGTGATGGAGTGCTGTATCAGATGACCTGGCCTCCACAATCCCCCGACCTCATCAGGGTTGGGTTATAAAAAAATATCAGAAACGTTGAACATCCCACGGAGCACCATTAAATCCATTATTATAAATGGAAAGAATATGGGTGGGGGGCACGCTCAAGTTTAATGTTTTTTTGTCTAATTTCTTGTTTGTTTCACAATAAAAAATATTATGCATCTTCAAAGTAGTAGGTATGTTGTGTAAATCAAATGATAAAAACCCCCAAAAAATCCATTTTAATTCCAGGTTGTAAGGCAACAAAATAGTAAAAATGCCAAGGGGGGTGAATACTTTCGCAAGCCACTGTACCTTGTGCAGGTGTGTAACAGGCATTACAGGCTTTGTTCCCTTGCGCGCGCTGAATAAATGTAATTCAACCCCTGAAAACCCTCCCACTTGCTGACCAAAGATTTTCTCATTGAGTTTTCATTCAATAGGGTTTTCAGTAAATGTATCTTCAGCATCCCTTTAAATACGGTGTACCTTTTTAGTTAGAATTTTGTCCACAGAATATATCAAGATGACGGGTTCTGAATATTAGGGATCATGAAAGAAAGCCATCTAAATATATGCATATTCGTCCCTGTTTCAGGAACAATTGCTAGATTTAAAAATACTCTGATTTTGTAGAATATTTTGTAATCATGAACGCACTAAATAATGAAAAAAGTGGTTTGATTCATTCTGAAAATCACCACATTCAGTTCTTCAACCCATGGTAATGTTGGAAGATTAGTGTACATTTGTATTTGTATTTATTAAGGATCCCCATTAGCTGCTGCCAAGGGGTCCAGCAACATTAAGGCAGTTATATACAATTAAAAATATTACATTTCACAACACATTAAGTGTGTTCCCATCAGGCCACTACTCTACTATCACATATCTACAATACAAAATCCATGTTTACGTGTGTGTAGAGTGTGTCTTATCAGGTCTTATTCATGTATTAAACTGTTTTTTCCCCTCATCAATCTACACACAATACCTCATAATGACAAAGGAATTTTGTTTTGCAAATGTATTACAAATAAAATACTGAAATATCACTTAAGTATTCAGACCCTTTCCTCAGTACTTTCTTGAAGCACCTTTGGCAGTGATTAGTGTCGATTCTTCTTGGGTATGACGCTACAAGCTTGGCACACTTGTATTTGGGGAGTTTCTCCCATTCCTCTCTGCAGATCCGCTCAAGCTGTCAGGTTGGATGGGGAGCGTTGCTGCACAGCTATTTTCAGGTCTCTCCAGAGATGTTAGATCGGGTTCAAGTCCGGGCTCTGGCTCGGCCACTCAAGGACATTCAGAGACTTGTCCCGAAGCCACTCCTGCATTGTCTTGGCTGTGTGCTTAGGGTCGTTGTCCTGTTGGAAGGTGTACCTTTGCCCCAGTCTGGGGTCCTGAGCACTCTGGAGCAGGTTTTCATTAAGGATCTCTCTGTACTTTTCTCCGTTCAACCTTCCCTCAATCCTGATTAGTCACCCAGTCCCTACCGCTGAAAAATATCCCCACAGCATGATGCTGCCACCACCATGCTTCACCGTAGAGATGGTGCCAGGTTTCCTCCAGACGTGACGCTTGGCATTCAGGGCAAAGAGTTCAATCTTGGTTTCATCAGACCAGAGAATCTTGTTTCTCATGGTCTGAGTCCTTTAGGTGACTTTTGACAAACTCCAAGCGGGCTATCATGTGCCTTTTACTGAGGAGTGGCTACCGTCTGGCCACTCTACCATAAAGGCCTGATTGGTGGAGTTCTACAGAGATGGTTGTCCTTCTGGAAGGTTCTCCCATCTCCACAGAGGAACGCTGGAGCTCATTCAGAGTGACCATTGGTTTCTTGGTCACCTCCCTGACCAAGGCCCTTCTCCCCCGATTGCGTAGTTTGTCCGGGCGGCCAGCTCTAGGAAGAGTCTTGGTGGTTCCAAACTTCTTCCATTTAAGAATGATGGAGGCCACTGTGTTCTTGAGGACCTTTAGTGCTGCAGAAGTTTTTTGGTACCCTTCCCCAGACCTGTGCCTCGACACAATCCTGTCTCGGAGCTCTACGGACTATTCCTTCAACCTCATGGCTTGGTTTTTGCTCTGACATGCACTGTCAACTGTGGGACCTTATATAGACAGGTGTGTGCCTTTCCAAATCATGCCCAATCAATTGAATTTACCACTGGTGGAATCCAATCCAGTTTTAGAAACATCTCAAGGATGATCAATGGAAACAGGATGCACCTGAGCTCAATTTCGAGTCTCATAGCAAAAGGTCTGTTTTAAAAAAAAAATACATTTGCACAAATTTCTAAAAACCAGTTTCCGCTTTGTTCATGAGAAAAAATTATATTTGATCAATTTTAGAATAAGGCTGTAACGTAACAATGTGTAAAAAGTCAAGTGGTCTGAATACTTTCCGAATGCACTGTATTTTTATCTGTTTTTTAAATCTGATTCTACTGCTTGCATCAGTTGCCTGATGTGGAATAGAGTTCCATGTAGCCATGACTCTATGTAGTACTGTGCGCCTCCTATAGTGTGTTCTTGACTTGGGGATTGTGAAGAGACCTTTGGTGGCATGTCTTGTGGGGTATGCATGGGTGTCCGAGCTGTGTGCTAGTAATTTAAACTGACACCTCTGTGCATTCAACATGTCAACAGTTCTTACAAAAACAAGTAGTGATGAAATCAATCTTTCCTCCACTTTGAGCCATGAGAGATGTACATGCATATTATTAATGTTAGCTCTACGTGTACATTTAAGGGCCAGCCGTGATCCCCTGTTCTGAGCCAAATGTAATTTTCCGAGGTCCCTCTTTGTGGCACCTGACCACACGACTGAACAGTAGTCCAGGTGCGCCAAAACTAGATCCTGTAGGACCTGCCTTGTTGATAGTGTTGTTAAAAAGGCAGAGCGGCGCTTTATTATGGACCTCTCCCCATCTTAGCTACTGTTGTATCAACATGTTTTGACCATGACCGTTTACAATCCAGGGTTACTCGAAGCAGTTTAGTCACCTCAACTTGCTGAATTTCCACATTCTCTAGTACAAGGTTTAGTTGAATTTTAGGGTTTAGTGAATGATTTGTCCCAAATACAATGCTTTTAGTTTTTGAAAAATTTAGGACTAACTTATTCCTTGCCACCCATTCTGAAATTAACTGCAGCTCTTTAAGTGTTGCACTGATTTCACTCGCTGTAGTAGCTGACGTGTATGGTGTTGAGTCATCCGCATACATGGCATTTCCATATTTTCTGTCGATGTTATAACCATGTATTGCTACCACTATCATCAAAGGTATTATCTAAGTAATTTTCAGAGATTGTCAGAATATGAATGTCATTAGTTGCTAGCAAATTATTGATTTCACGAACCTTGTGTCTTAAGCTACATATGTTAACGTAGGCTATTTTTAGCACTCTTCTGGAATGCTTGATTGTTTTCATTGCTTTACTGGGAAGCTTAGCAGAAGTAGACATGCTCATGTTATTTATGTTAGTGCAAAGTGAGCTGCACACAGTGTACTTCCTACTAGGGCACACCGCCTCAGTGCTAACAGTATAACTCTGGTTCATAGGCACATGATTACTGCATGCAATAGCTGTGGGATCAGCAGAGGCATTCAGGGCAGTTAGAGGGACATAAATTAGGTTACTTACATTGTGTCTTCCAACGCCCCTGGGATAATGTACATTTCCTGAGGCATTAGGACAACTCAGCGACACAATGGTAGGGATTAACTGAGCTGGGCTTGGGTCATTGATAAGTCATTAATAAGGAACCCAATTGATTTGGATTTGATCCCATCCTTATAAAACAAGCTTTGTTTCCAGAAGGTATCAACATTTTCAATAACTGTTACACCCACAGAGCTGCAATAGTCATGAGGCCAGATATGGAGGGCTAACAGTCTGCTGAAACATTCAATGCCACGATTTAGAGAGGGCACAGGGCCAGATATTATGGGGCGTTTGTTGGTGTCAAGCAGAGAACCAATCAGTTCTTTAAAATCAATTTTCAGCTGTTCTGAGCTGCCCTTCATAATGTCATTGAATACCACATGAACTATGATAGACTACATTTCCTGATGCAGGTGTCCTGTACTCGTGCTCCTGGATAGCACAATGTTTTTGCTCCAGGGACTGAGACATTTCTCACCATTGAACTGCCCAAAGAAACAATGGCCGGAGAAGGGGATGGAAAAATGCTCCCATTCCTACCCCTCACACAATTCGTGGAACCTTTCACGGGCCCACGAGAAGCAGGATAGCATACATAGAATTATAATAGGGAGAATAGTGTAAAATAATAGGCTATACCCTCGTCTATTGCCTGCAATAACCATGGAACTGTGTGATGACACAGCCAAGTATTGCACCATGCGTCGGGTTCAAACTATTACGGCTTGGTCTGCGCTCCGCTCCATAACGATTTCACTTCCAGTCAAAAGTTTGGACAAACCTACTCATTCAAGGGTTTTTCTTAATTTTTTTTACTATTTTCTATATTGTAGAATCATAGTGAAGACATCAAAACTATGAAATAACACATATGGAATCATGTAGTAACCAAAAAAGTATTAAACAAATCAAAATATATTTTATATTTGAGATTCTTCAAATAGCCACCCTTTGCCTTGATGACAGCTGTCACACTAGCCTTCGCTTTGGCTCCCCCTCCTGTCCAGCTCAGGCATTTGGCGTCACCGGCCTTCTTGCTGCTGCCGAACCTGCTGCAAGCAAACGCCCTTCAATCATCAACCCCGGACTTGTATCGTCATCATTACACACACCTGGTTCCAATCCCCCTCTATCACTGTATACATACTCCCTCTGTCAGTCATTGTATATGTTGCTTGTTTTCCTGAGAGGAATCTCTCCTACTATTTCCTGAATACTTTTTTTTTTTTTGCACTGTGGGTTTCGTCCCGCTTTAATAAATTCAGTAGTTCTAAACCTGCAGCTGCCTCCTGCCTACTCTTCTCTACACTTGTGACAACAGCTTTGCACACTCTTGGCATTCTCTCAACCAGCTTCATGAGGTAGTCACCTGGAATGCATTTCAATTAACAGGTGTGCCTTCTTAAAAGTTAATTTGTGGAATTTCTTTCCCTAATGCATTTGAGCCAATCAGGTGTGTTGTGACAAGGTAGATAGCCCTATTTGGTAAAAGACCAAGTCCATATTATGGCAAGAACAGCTCAAATAAGCAAAGAGAACGACAGTCCATCATTACTTTAAGACATGAAGGTCAGTCAATACTGAACATTTCAAGAACTTTGAAAGTTTCTTCAAGTGCAGTCGCAAAAACCATCAAGCACTATGATGAAACTGGCTCTCATGAGGACCGCCACAGGAATGGAAGACCCAGAGTTACCTCTGCTGCAGAGGATAAGTTCATCAGAGTTACCAGCCTCAGAAATTGCAGCCCAAATAAATGCTTCACATAGCTAAAGTAACAGACGCATCTCAACATCAACTGTTCAGAGGGGACTGTGTGAATTGCTGCAAAGAAACCACTACTAAAGGACACCAATAATAAGAAGATACCTGCTTGGGCCAAGTAACTAAAGCAATGGACCTTAGACCGGTGGAAATGTGTCCTTTGGTCTAGAGTCCAAATTGGTTCAAACCGCTGTGTCTTTGTGAGATGCGGTGTGGGTGAACGGATGATCTCTGCATGTGTTGTATCCACCGTAAAGCATGGAGGAAGAGGTGTTATGGTGTGGGGGTGTTTTGCTGTTGACACTGTCTGTGATTTATCCAAGGCACACTTAACCAGCATGGCTACCACAGCCTTCTGTAGCGATACGATCCCATCTGGTTTGGGCTTAGTGGGACTATCATCTGTTTTTCAACAGGACAATGACCCAACACAGCTCCAGGCTTTTACCAAGAAGGAGAGTGATGGAGTGCTGCATCAGATGACCTGGCCTCCACAATCCCCCGACCTCAACCCATTTAAGATGGTTTGGGATGAGTCGGACGACAGAGTGAAGGAAAAGCAGCCAACAAGTGCTCAGCATATGTGGGAACTCCTTCAAGACTGTTGGAAAAGCGCTCCAGGTGAAGCTGGTTGAGAGAATGCCAAGAGTGTGCAAAGCTGTCATCAAGGCAAAGGGTGGCAATTTGAAGAATCTCAAATATTAAATATATTTTGATTTGTTTAACACTTTTCTGGTTACTACATGATTCCATATGTGTTATTTCATAGTTTTGATGTCTTCAATATTATTCTACAATGTAAAAAATAGTAAAAATAAAGAAAAACCCTTGAATGAGTATGTGTGTCCAAACTTTTGACTGGTACTGTATATGTTATTACTGTTACTAATAATCCTCATCAACAACCACATGGCCGTGACGGCATTTACAGAGGAAGCAAATGAAGGTAAACGAAACAATGTAATTAAATGGAATGATAACGTAGGCTATAACAACTAAAGGGAACTAACAGTAAATTGGCAGTTGAATATGTGTGGTTATGTGGCCCACTGACGGTCAGTACTGATAGTGGCTAATATTTAACATGATAGAAATAGGAAACAGAGAACGTTGGGGTAGCCTATAATAAACTCAGTCAATTTAAATTCTGCATAATGGCACAACATTTCATAAACTTTACTGTGGGAAAGTTGATATGGTGATATTATGGTGGCATTATACATTTTAGATTGTAGATATGTAGTGGTGTAGTAATGTTATGACGTACTGTTTTATATTTTGTGTTATGTGTGATGTAAGTGCCTTAATGTGTTTGGACTCCAGGAAGAGTAGCTGCTGCATTGGCAGCAAATAATGGGGATCCCTAATAAATACAAATACAAATATGCTTCAGTTTGCTGCCATATGACTGGCTTCATATTTGTTTCTATTATAAAGTAAAATAAATCTAAAACAAGTGTAATTTATATTTACAATTCCCTTATCCAAATATATTACTAATTTACCTAGCTCTTATCAATAGCTCTTATCAAGTTGTAAATTACAGTGCATGGAGAATCTTGTTATTTCTATCGGAAAAAATCAACTAGATGCTTTTTCCATTTGGAACCAGTAGGTTCGCTAGACCTGATTCATTGTTTCCTCGTGCGTAAAGGTGGTGTAATTATTAGGGAATTAATTCAAGGTCAGAATACAGCGTATCTGTAGACACACCTCTGCCGCACCTTCATTTATTTGATCTCCACCCAAAAAGAATAGCGGGTGAATAGCATGCTATTCTCATGCTTATGTTCGAGGTCAGAATACGCATAGAGTGAAAAATGCATAAAAAGGGAATTACGTTCCATTTACGCGCGCTTAAGTCTGATCGGAATCGGCCCCCAAGTGAATACAAATACTGTAAATGAGTTGCCACAAAATCATCATAAAGTGAATATAATATTATTTTATCACTATTTTGTGATAATATATAATAGCTTTCCAAGAGTTAAATGTTTTTTGGTAAATCGATTTCTTTGGTAAAATGATTGTCGTAATGTCATTCACTCACAGTGAAGACAAAGCCTTCCAGAGTAAGAGGAGTCAAGGAAGCTGCATTTTGAAAGGTCATCATTAGGCTTCCCTCAGCTTAGTGCTGCTAGGGTAGTCTGTTTGTGCTATCATGCCAACTCCTTGCCACTCATTGAAATTGACATGACAATGGCAATTGGCTTGACAAGGACACTGGACAGCAATGGAGTAGGCAAGAGCACAAACAGATCGGGGCCAAGGTATCAGCACTATTCACTTTCCTTACTACATCTTAACCAGGCAATTATTTCTTAGTGGTCTTCTTTCTTCTTCTGTGGTTTCAGGTTGTGCACAAGGCGGCCATCACCGTGGATGAGACCAGCAACGCCGGGAATGCCCGTGCCCTGAACATCTTCGCTAGTCTTCCTCCTCGGCTCACCGTCAACCGGCCCTTCCTCTTCCTCGTTTACCACGAGGCCACCAGCAGCCTCCTCTTCATAGGCAGGGTGATCGACCCCTCCAAGAAGTGACCGTGACCTTAACCACCGTGTCATATAGGTGTTTGTGGTCGAGTGTTAACAGTAACTGTAATGGTCTTGTCTGCCTATAATGTATTTTTAGTAACATTCAAGTTGAAGGGCACCATATGGGGATCTTAGACAGTATTAATGCATTCTTTATTGTGATAGGTCATATTCAGATATAGTGACAGTTAAGGGCAGATTGCAGTTGAAAAAATGTCTAGGCCGGGATTCAATCTGATAGGCATTGCAGCGTTTAAAGAAGATTTGCCTTTAAAAACTGCAAAGCCTATAACCCGCGATGGGATTGAATCCCGGTCCTAGTTTTTCAGTACTTGCACCCAAATGTGTTGAGCAGTTATTATCCGATGGCCTTCAACTGAATTGCTAATCCTTCCTTTTTTCTCCCTTCTTTTAGGAGACTTACTTTGTCATTTTAATAGCACTGAACATGTTTTGCCTGCTGTACAATTCTACAAGTATTACATTAGCAGTATGTAACTTAGGACTGTGAAGGAAATTTTACTTTGTGAAGAAACAGTCTTGAAAATATTAATCTTGTCTTTGGTGTCTTAAACAATCCTTGGTTCCTGCTGACTGTGCTTTGTAAAGATATGAGGGGGGGCTGTCATGACCTCCTCCTTAGGACCATCTGACAGAACGCCCAGAATATGTTATTTAAGTTAAGATAGGAGACGGTGCCAGACACATGCCGGAAACAACCCTATGAACTATGCCAATGTAACGTGTCTGTAACCAGTATATAAGGGAACTAACGGGACTGCCCCGTTGGAGCTCCTGATCGACATGTGTACTTGGTACATTGAGTTGGTTGGAACCTCTCCAGTGCTCTGACAATAAAGGATGATTCATTTATGACTTTGAGTGTCCCTGTGTAGTATTTCCACGACAGGACTAACAAAATCAGTGGCAGGCTGGAGAAGGTGGGGTAGTGGTTGGGGTCAGCGAATAACACCATGGCCTGAAGAGGAAGTGATGTCACAGAGAGTGATGACTTGTTCAAAATGTAATACTTTCCACTCTATGGCCCAATTCAAAATGAATCCCTAGACCCTTTGCAATTGTGGAGATCTAAGAGGATTTGTTTGACATCATCAGTATGGAAACTTCTATCTCGAGGGCAAGGCTAGTAAAATATTTTCCAAATATGTATTTCCTTTTATATACTATGATTCAGTATAAACTGTGGAACATTCAAGAATGCCATTGTGCTGGAGTTTATATTTTGAATATAAATTATTCTCTGTAAGCACTAGGAGCGATATGTCTAGGACAGTATATGAATTGAACAACACTTTTGAATTAAAACAATTCCATACTAAAATGCTGAACAGACGCTTAAATGCAATTTCCCTGACGCTAGCCTTCTCTTTTGAGACAGTTGGCAAGGTTTTCCCCGCAGACAGCTGAGTCGTGTTCATTAAGCACCAAACGGAAGGAAACAATCAGAAACAGAGTGAAATGGGAAGGTACTAACTAAACTTGTACAATAAGAATCCCTTGTTTTCATATTTACATTTTAGTCATTTAGCAGACGCTCTTATCCAGAGCGACTTACAGTTAGTTTAGTTTTCATACTGGCCCCCCTTGGGAATCAAACCCACAACCCTGGCGTTGCAAACGCCATGCTCTACCAACTGAGCTACATCCCTGCCGGCCATTTCCTCCCCTACCCTGGACGACGCTGGGCCAATTGTGCTCCGCCCCATGGGTCTCCCGGTCGCGGCCGGCTACGACAGAGCCTGGATTCGAACCAGGATCTCTAGTGGCACAGCTAGCACTGCGATGCAGCGCCTTAGACCACTGCGCCACTCACCATATTCTGTTGCAAAACATTTTACTACAGTGTGCCTGAATGAACACGACCCTGTACTGGCACCACACTTAGTCCCAACTGATACTGTACATTATTGAGGGCTTGAGCAAAGAAGGTATACCTAGGGTGCATCCCAAATGGCACCCTATTCCCTACATAGTGCACTACTTTTGACCCAGAGCTATGAGCCCGTTGGACCAGGGGAGGAGACCCTCCCTGCCTGTGGGAACGAAGGCCTTTCGGGAGTTTCATCGTGCCCATTTTTACAACAATCAACTCTACCCTCCTGACCCCATTACATGGGCTGTGTGTTTGTGTGTGTGTGTGTCTAATAGATCAGGCGATATGTGAAAATGATGTTCACTTTTTCATAAAATCATGAAACTTGTCAATTTAGGCAAGAGAGTATGGTAGAGTATATGTGACCAAGATTCATGGCATGGATGACCAACAGGATCATAGTAGATCAAAGTGTACAAGAGCCTCTAGCCAGTAGTACACATAGGCTGACAAAGATCTAATATTCTATACTTCAATCCACTTCATCCCCATTGGGACATAGAGTGCCTTCAGAAAGTATTCACACCCCTTGACATTATCCACATTTTGTTGTATTACAGCCTGAATTTAAAATTGATTTTGTATCAATGATCTACATGCAATACCACAGAATATCAAAGTGGAATTATGTTTTTAGAAATGTAAAAAATAAAAAATATTCAACCGTTTTGTTATGGCAAGCCTAAATAAGTTTAGGAGTGAAAATGTGCTTAACAAGTCACATAATAAGCTGCATGGACTCACTATGTGTGCAATAAGTGTTTAAGATGATTTTTTAATGACAACCCCATCTCTGTACCCCACACATACAATTATCTGTAATGTCCCTCAGTCAAGCAGTGAATTTCAAGCACAGATTCAACCACAAAGACCAGGTAGATGGGTAAAAAAAAGCAGACATTGAATATCCCTTTGAGCATGGTGAAGATTTTTAAACAGTTTAATGGCTGTGAAAGTAGATCACTCAGGATAGATCAACAACATTGTAGTTACTCCACAATACTAACATAAATGACAGAGTGAAAAGAAGGAAGCCTGTACAGAATAAAAAAATATTCCAAAACATGCATCCTGTTTGCAATAAGGCACTAAAGTAATACTGGAAAAAATGTGGCAAAGAAATTAACTTTTTGTCCTGAACACAAAGCGATATGTTTGGGGCAAATCCAACACAACACATCACTGAGTACCACTCTTCATATTTTCAAGCATGGTGGTGGCTGCATCATGTTGTGGGTATTCTAGTCATCGGCAAGGACTAGTGAGTTTTTTAGGATAAAAATTAATGGAATACAGCTAAGCACAGGCACAATCCTAGAGGAAAACTTGGTTCAGTCTGCTTTCCAACAGACACTGGGAGAGAAATTCACCTTTCAGCAGGACAATTACCTAAAGCACAAGGCCAAATATACACTGGAGTTGCTTACCAAGACGACATTGAATGTTCCTGAGTGGCGTAGTTACAGTTTTTACTTAAATCGGCTTGAAAATCTATGGCAAGACTTGGAAATGGCTGTCTAGCAACAACCAACATGACAGAGCTTGAATAATTTTTTTAAGAATAATGGGCATCCGAGTGGCGCAGCGGTCTAAGACGCTGGATCGCAGTGCTAGAGGCGTCACTACAGACCCGGGTTCGATCCCAGGCTGTGTTGCAGCCAGCCGCGACCGGGAGACCCATGAGGCAGCACACAATTGGCCCAGCATCGTCTGAGGAAGGGGAGGTTTTGGCCGGCCGGGATGTCCTTGTCCCATCACGCTCTAGCAACTCCTTGTGGGGGGCCGGGCGCATGCACGCTGACTTCGGTCGCCAGCTGTACTGTGTTTCCACCGACACATTGGTGCGGCTGGCCTCCGGGTTAAGCGAGCAGTGTGTCAAAAAGCAGTGCGGCTTGGCGCTGTTGTGTTTCGGAGGACGCATGGAAAATTCCAGAAAATTATGTCATTGGAGTCAATTGGAGGTGTACCTGTGGATTTATTTCAAGGCCTACCTTCAAACTCAGTGCCTCTTTGCTTGACATCATGGGAAAATCAAAAGAAATCAGCCAAGACCTCAGAAAAAGAATTGTAGACCTCCACAAGTCTGGTTCATCCTTGGGAGCAATTTCCAAACGCCTGAAGGTACCACGTTCATCTGTACAAACAATAGTACGCAAGTATAAACACCATGGGACCACGCAGCCGTCATACCGCTCAGGAAGGAGACGCGTTCTGTCTCCTAGAGATGAACGTACTTTGGTGCGAAAAGTGCAAATCAATCTCAGAACAACAGCAAAGGACCTTGTGAAGATGCTGGAGGAAACAGGTACAAAAGTATCTATATCCACAGTAAAACGAGTCCTATATCGACATAACCTGAAAGGCCGCTCAGCAAGGAAGAAGCCACTGCTCCAAAACCGCCATAGAGGAAAAAGGGGGATGCTTGCAAGCCGAAGAACACCATCCCAACCATGAAGCACAGAGGTGGCAGCATAATTTTTTTAGAATTTTTTATTTTTTCACCTTTATTTAACCAGGTAAGCCAGTTGAGAACAAGTTCTCATTTACAACTGCGACCTGGCCAACCAGGTAAAACAAAACATAAAGTCAAAAATACAACAGAAAATATATATACAGTGTGTGCAAACGTAGCAAGTTATGGAGGTAAGGCAATACATAGGCTATAGTGCAAAATTAGTATTAACACTGGAATGATAGATGTGCAAGAGATGATGTGCAAATAGAGGTACTGGGGTGCAAATGAGCAAAATAAATAACAATATGGGGATGAGGTAGTTGGGTGGGCTAATTTCAGATGGGCTGTGTACAGGTGCAGTGATCGGTAAGGTGCTCTGACAACTGATGCTTAAAGTTAGTGAGGGAGATAAGAGTCTCCAGCTTCAGAGATTTGTGCAATTCGTTCCAGTCATTGGCAGCAGAGAACTGGCCAAAGGAGGTGTTGGCTTTGGGGATGACCAGTGAGATATACCTGCTGGGGCGCATACTACGGGTGGGTGTTGCTATGGTGACCAATGAGCTAAGATAAGGCAGGGATTTGCCTAGCAGTGATTTATAGATGGCCTGGAGCCAGTGGGTTTGGCGACGAATATGTAGTTAGGACCAGCCAACAAGA